GCATAGGTCACCTGAAAATAATTAGTATGTTTAAAATAAATACCTTTGAGATAGGGGTCAAGGCAATGCCTGCTCTTTGTGTTTGATGTATAGCTCATAGAGAGTTCTTTTCACAATATAGGTTTTCAAAGGATGTCGTTCTGCTTTTGTGCTTACTCTGCCTCATAAGGAAAAAACCCACCAACTCATAAAGAGTATCACATTCACATACGAACATGAATTTTGCAGAAAAATGTAGCTAAATATTTTCAATTTGAGCTAATATAATTTCTCTGATGCATACATTGATGGAAAATAAAATGCAAGTATACACACAGAACACCTACAACAATATGTTCAGGCAATTAAAGAAAATGAATAGTACTTCCCAAACTAAATATTCCAAACACATACCATTTCAGCTCCTAGCTAAGAGCTGATCATCAGCTGGGACTATGTCTTTCTGCCTAAACACTACTGAGAAGCACATTCTGTAGCATTACTGACCTAACCAAAGCGCAATGTGCACTTGCAATCTGCAGCAGCTTAATCAATACCATTCCTGCATCCAGTCACTGGCAGCTATTTTGAGCTAGGTTGCCATTCACAGGTGTAAGAGTTTTTGATAGATTTCAGACAGTAATGCACTTGGCTAATCATGTTCAGGAGGTTGTTGGTTTTTTTTTAAACAACCCCAAGTATTGTAATTCTAAAACTCTGGCAGGGAAGAGGATCAGAAGTGGCATAAGAAAATAATACTCTTTCGTCTATCTGGTCAAGTACAGTTTCTGTTCTCTGATAATGGTAAAAGCTCATTGCTTTAGAAGGCTGTACTACTGCTCCCCAATAATAATAACCTTGCTAATTGTATAGTGTTGTATACGGTGGAAAGATTTTTCCTGACCCCGCAGGGAACTAGTGCTGTGAAGCATGAGATTTGATTAGCCTTATTATCTTAGCTTGCCCAGTTACCAATGTTGTAAGCTGCCATGAAATTATCCACCCCTTTTAAAAATAAAGCCATACTATTTGTCTTGATTATCTCCTCCTGTGGAGTTGAATTCCACATGCAAACAGACCTCAGTGATGAAAATAGCATAGGAATTAGACATACAGAACCTTTTAACTCTGTAGGTACTGCATCCTTTCACTCTTTCATATTGCCTCTACTTGTAAATCAACATTCTCCCAATTACTGTGGTTTTGATCATGCGCAGATGTCCTGCCCCAAAAAACTGTTTTTAATTGACCTTCGATATTTGTTATCATCCATGTGATCTTTTAATGAGCTCTTCTGGGATAATTTGGAAAATCATGAAATTTCTTACAGATTTTGCTATCTTTGCTAGATCGTTTTGAAAATCTTAAATGACATTTTGTGTACAAATATGAAAGCATACTTTATACCAAAGAAACCCCAACCCAAAGTCCTATCTCATTTCTTTGTCACAAATAACTCCACAGAAACCCTCACTGTTTTGAAGATGATGATCTTGGATGGTAGGCTAGTGGATACATAAACAAGTTACCATCACAACATTCCCAAATGGTGATAAGCACAGTAAAGAAGCTGATAATCTATTGAATGTAATTTATGAGGTGATGAAGGCAGCATATTTTAGGGGTTATCAAATAGAGTAGTAGTGCAGAGTTCCGGCTGCCTGAAGACTGATCATAACAACTGATTATCCAAGTTAGACATCAATAAACTTAAGAACACAGAATGCTGGTCTTGCAGAGCATGCCAGTAATCAGCTTAAAACTTCATTTAAAAAAATGTAGTCTTAAAGTCTTTCACTTTAAGTGCTCAATCTCAGTTCCCCACAACAATTAAATAGAAACTTTTCTATGGGGACATCTGTTCATTTTATCATTAAAATAGTCATCAGAACAGTGACAGAAAATTCAGAATTCAGACCCAGAATTCTGTAGAGCATAAAACAAAAATTTGGCATAGCTGACACCAGCCAGTAGATAATTTCTCCAGAAATAAGTGAATGCAACAATGCTGGTGATTATTACAGGTTTTGTTTTCCATTTGCATGGTCAGAACTGTAAGGGGGCTGAAAACCACATCATACTCCTTCCCATGTTTTGTATACTGGGGTCTGCTCCTCTAACCCCTCTACATCAGGTAAGAGCTGTAGCAAAACCAAAAGACCCTGGAGAAAGACCTCTACCATGTTACTTGTAGCACCAGCAGAGAACTTATCTCAATATTAGCAACCCTAGCCTCTGAAGTTTTACAGAGACGAGCACAGCAAAAGAAACCCTTTGCTTAAGTGAGAGCTGTATCATCAAAGGCAGAGTTCAAAGCTCTGTGGAGTCATAAACTCCAGTTCAAGTGAATGCTAATCATCAGCCCAAAAGTATGAGGGCTGTGGCTGACCTACCATACAGTCTCTATGCTCCCTGTATCCTGCGGCTTTTGATAATCCCTGGCATAAAGCAACTTGGCTTTGGCACTGTTCTAATTCACGCCTGGCTGACCATGATCACCAGCCAGAAACTGCTGGGGCGTAAGTTAGCCCTGGCCAGGTCTTCTCTGACTTAAACTGGGAACAGGGTGAGGCTTGGCTGAAGTGCAGTAATTGCCATTAAATGGATAAGAGTGATTTACAGTGGTTTGCACTGCAGGAATGATGCAAAGCTATCAGATTGAACTGCGCCATCAAGGTCCTAATGACCATCCTTGGATAAATGTGAATGCAAGTAGTAAAAAGCCAAAAGGGTATGATAATTCCTGCCAGAGGGTAAACATCAATTTCTAAATTCTTTTCTAAAACGATACATCTCTGTTTCTTCCTTGACCCTAATGGGTCAAATGGATTAAGTAGTGGGCAAAAATGGTTTGTGAACATTTGGGATACATTCCCTAAAGGGCTTTAATAGCCAAATAGCAGCTGCAGAGGCCAGAATGGAAGACGCTCAAAAGGCTGTGGAGCAGTTGAAGTATTTTGTGTTTAGATATTTCTGTTACAGCTGCAAACAGGTTCTTGTGTTTCACAGGTTTGGATTCAAGCTTTGAGGTGAACTATAATAACAACCTCTAAGTTTTGCCATGGAGCAATTTTCTTTCATTGACCACGAAGGTAACGTCAGGACAGCATGAAAGATGCCAGCATAAATTGCTGCAGCACTTTATCCTTAATAGAATAATGTTCAGCCTCCTCAAACACAGGACTGTTAGGGAAGAAGTCAACAAGATGTTGAGTTGTGAAATACAGGACAAGCTGACAGTTATGTGTTTTGTGGCTCTGGTTCAAAAGGTTTTCCATTAGGACATCACAAAAAATAAACAGGGGGCAAAGGAGAGAGAAAGATCTGGAGGGATTTTTCAGGGAATGAGGATTTTCTGTGCCTGTCAGTTTTTCCATTGTAGCTGCAGGGGTTCGAACACTGAAAGGGTGGTAAGTCATTACTTAGCTTTGAACCCCTTATGATGCATGCAGTTTACTTTCAGTTTAATAAGGAAAAGGTAACTTCTTGTGAAGCAAATTAGGCTCAATTTGGACTTTTTTACTGAGAAATCCCAGGAGGCCTGTAAGCTATTTGGACTCAGGGGTGCATAATTCCAAGTGCTCATGAAGCTTTCAGCACAGGGTAGCCACTGTAATTTCAAGAGTGAGTAAAAATAATTCCTAAAGGAATTTTGCATGCTGGTTTCCTAAGATGAGGGGAGCAAGATCTTATTACTCAATGCATCTCTATTGGTCAATCTGAGGAAGGATTTCTCACCTGCTGGCTGCTGTTCCACCATTTCTTTAATTATGCCCATCATATATGCGCCGCTTCTTTTTGGTATCTTGGGTCGCATGAAAATCAGCTTATTTGTTACTTGGTAGAAAGCACAATCTGAACCTGTTAGAATAAAAATCAATACCTAGTGGATTTTTCTGTTCAGACTCCACCCCCACATAATTTTGGCTTTCTCTCCTCCCCAGTGGCTCCCAAAAACAACGAAGGAGAATTGGAGGCAGATTATTATTAGGGGATACCACATGTCACAGCAGGCTATCATGTATTCTTAAAACAGCATAATTAAATGGATTACTACTGAAGTGTACACTTGGATTTAAACATTCGAGAAGTCTGTAAGAGAAGGAAAAAGTCAATGAAAACAAGCTGAGGAATGAAGTATTGCTTTGGATATGAACATTCCGTTTTCCAGGGCAGATTTTAATCCAGCTTCAGCGAGAATTGTGCAGGCATGGCTGACTTGCTGTTTGCAACTTAAATTTCAGTTAAGTCCAAGAGTATCCAAAGGTGAGGGTCTCCACAAAATGAACCAGAAGCAAACACAGAAAGCTAGTTTATTGTCACCGCTCAAAACAAATGGAATGTTTAAACAGCAACCAGAAGTGCAGGAATATCAGTTTTTTGATGTTGTTTCCACCTGAGTGGTCTTGTGTGTTATTAGTACCAAGGGAAATTTTCCATCCCTCTTCCCCTTTGAAATATTTGACTTATCCTTTGCCAGCGTTCTTCACGCTTTGGTGCCTGATCACGCAGTGCCAAGTGAAACGGCTCCGACTGAGGAGCGCCCACACCCGCCCGGACACTCAACCCAGTCAGGGATCGCGTGCGGCCCGCAGCCTGGGGACACTCTCCCGCTACCACACGCTCTCCCTCTCACACCACAGCGCTCTCCATCCATCCCCAGCGTGGTTGCCCTCGCATACACTCGTTCCACGCAAACGACCGGGCGCCCTGCTCCCACATCGCGGCTCGCTGCCGGGCACACCAGCACCTTCGGCGCTCCCTCACACGCAGTCACATCCACACACGTAGGCGCTCCCTCCCGCGCTCTCTCACAGCCCCGCTCCGCACACACACACACGCCGCGGGAGGCGGGCCCCGCCGCCGGTCAAGCGGAGGCGGGGTGAGGCGCGGGAGGGAACGGACCGGACGGGCGGGGGCCGCGCGCGCCCCCTCAGGCGCCCCGCCGTTTGCTGCGGGAGGCGGTGCTCGCGCGCATTCGCCCGCCCGCGCGGGCGCGCGCGCCGGTAGGAGGAGGAGGAGGAGAGGGAGGAGGAGCAGGAGCGCGTGCTACAGCCACGCCGGCGGCGCGCGCCGAGGCGGGCGCAGACCGGCGGGAGCGGAGCCGGGGGCGCTTCTGGCTCGCGCTTCTCCCTTCCGCCAACCGGCGGCTCGCGCGCCCGGGCTCGTAGATGGGGCTGAGCGGCGGCCGCTGAGGAGGGCACGGACGGACGGACGGGCGGGCAGCGGGAGCCGGTGCCAGCCGGTGAGTTGGTCGCGTGTGCCGGGGGGGGAGGGTTCATCCGCCCGCTTCTCTCTCCCTCTTCTTCTTCTCGTCCAGCCGGCGGGGAAATGGAGGTGGGAGGCGGGGTCCCGCAGCGGTCCCTTGCCCCGGGGCAGGAGCGGGGCGCGCTGCCCCGGCGGCTGGAGCTGAGGCTCCCCGCGTGCGTGTGGCGTGAGGGGGAAGAGCCGCCCTCCTGCCCGGCTGCATGCAGGTACCGGTGCCGGGCGGGCCTGCAGGGGAGCGAACATGGCAGCGCCGGAGTCGGGGAAGAGGGTTTTTTTTTGCCCCCAGAGTGAGGATTAACCCTCCTCCTCCCGCCTCCGGATGCGTCCCCGTGAGACTAGCTCCTCATCTGCCGCTCCGGATTATCTACCCGCCCACCCTCCTTCCCCCACCCCCTTCCCGGTATTTTCTCTCCTGGAGATTATCAGGTTTCCCGCCCCTCCTTCTCCGGGATTCTCCGCCTCCCCCCCCTCTTCCAAGGGGATTATCCCCCCCCCTTCTCTCATGGATTATCCCCCCCCCCCCGGTTCGCTGTTCCTGTCTCTCCCTCTCCTGTTATGCCCCTCTGCAGCCTCGCCTCTCAGGGATTATCTGCTCTCCCTTTGGGGTAATTCCTCCTCTCTTGATCTCTGCCCCGGCCTCTCCTTGCTTATTTTCCTCCCGAGGAAGTCATCCCTCCCCTTCCGACTCCCACTGACTGGGGAAAGGGGAGAAAATGTGGTTGAAATCCCGTGGGCAGGAGTTTCCAGTAGTGCTGTCATCTCCGTGGTCTCTGTCCTAGTACTACAGGCAAGCGGGTGTAGGTGGTAAAAGAGGCACAAAGGATGTACAAAGCTTGTGGCAGAGTTCAGCCTGTGGCATGGTGCTCCCTATGCACGGAAATACCTGCACCCTTTCTGCAATGTTGGAGCTGCTGCTGGAGATGCTCGTGAAATAGAGCCTGTCTGGATCAGTGCTTATAGAAAGACGTGCATATGCATGGCTGGGTGGTAGATACCACACGTTAACCAAAAATTGCACTGAAAAGAAGCCAGCAGCCTCCTAGTTTCTTTGAAAAGGTTTAATGTACAGTAGTAGCATTATAATGTAAGTGGGAAGGTGCATGGATGACATTGCTGCTGTTGAGGGGTCAAAGCTGACTTGGATAGCTTCTGTCTTGGTTTTCAAGGCAGTTGTCTTAGGCTGTTGCTCTGTGGTGAGAAGGGAGGAGGCAGGTGTCATTTGCTTAGTCGGTGATGCTGATGTGGTTCATTACCACCAGCATACTGGTAGAGGAAAAATGAGTTTGTTCCTAAAGCGGAGAAATAGGGTTTGTCCCATGTATTATGGTCCTGTGTATGTTAAACCATGCTTTTTGCCATTTCTCCTGGTCTTACTGCACATGGGATTGCACGAGGAGAGTTGCAGATCCTCTAACCATCTTGCGGCACAAGGCCCAGGATTATATCTATTAAACTTCCCTGACTTGGCTTTGAGAGGAGAGGCTGTGAGAAATTGTGGAGAGGCTGGGCAGCTATAAATAGATGTCGGACTAGAGGAGGCTTTGAAATCTTAGCATGCTGCTTCTGAACACATAGTGTCTGTTAAACTGGTTGAGTTGACACTAGCATCATGATGTTTCCTTTTATTTCTGATGAGGTGGTTGGCTTTTAACACTTCAACATGTGATTGGACCATGCAACATCTGTCACAAAATTCTTCTCGAAAATGCCATAGAGAAAATTCTCATTTAAATAAAACACTGATAATGGGAGTCTTGTTTGAGCTCGTTTTGATGTGATTTTTAAAGGACTCTTCAGAGCAATCTTTCATTTCCTTTTCCCTCCCTTGAAATGTTTGGAATTGAAGATCTTGCTCTCCATATTTTGTTCTTGAAGTATTGCAGTATACAGATTACCTGAGTTCCATATTGCTGTGAAAAATCTGCAGTTCTGAGGCATGGTGTCATAATGCTGGTACCATTGTTAGGTTTTTTTATTTCCTCATCTTCAGTACTCTCTTCGTAGTTTGGGCTTTGTTTTTTTTTTGTTGTGGTGTTTTTTTATGGAGCCTTCATCATCTCACAAAAAGTATGTATATTCAGCTGCTTTGAATTCTGGGTGCCTGCATGTGTTTTGGATGCTATGGATCACTGCTGTCAAGAACTACTTAATATGGAAATTATTGACAAATATACTGTACCAGCTATGTGGAGTGGTGTCTGTTCTGCTGCTATATTAGTAGGCTAACTGTGCATACTAAAAGTCTCTAAAATGATTGAAAAGCTGTTGCAACATATGTGCAATTGGACCTTTCTTGAACTACCTCTCATTGCTTTTTTTTTTCTTCTCTTTAAACAAATAATGGAAGCTATTAACTTAAATCATGGCTTAATCACATATGTTTAGTGTTTTTTTTAAATAAGAAAGGAAGTAATGAAAACACGTCTGGCTAATCTGAAGGAGTCTTAATGAAGGCTAATAGAGAGGATGAGTGTCTGGAAGACCCCTGATTTAGGATGTTTTTCATTTGAGGCATAAAATTTTAATCTGATCTTTTTTTTTTCTGAATTTCTGTGCCTGCAAACCTCAGGAAGTTAGGAAGGAACATAAATCTAGGCAATGTAGTTTACTACTTTTGGCATTTTTAGTTTAATCTGTAAAAGCAGGAAAACCAAATAATTACCAAATAATTGGGCAGGCTTTATTCTGAGCTGCTAAGGATGTGCTCTGGGTATTGCCCCGAAACACTCTGCTGCTTCAGTCAGAATCAAGCTCCAGCCTGATATTAGGTCCTTGGGATGGGTATTTGTACATGCAGAAACAAAGGTCAGTTATCTGGGAAAACTTTATAGTACCATAATGACAAGCAGAAAATTCTTTAGCACAAGTCTCTTCGTACAGTGACTCAGTCCCTGAATCATTCTGGTTTTCTACATGCATTTATTTGTAGAAATTACTTATATTTTGAATGCAGTTCTATAAAACTTTAGCATCCTGCTTTGAAACCATACTTTCTGCTATAGTCAGAAGTGATTTAAAGTTCTGACATGATGTGACTGTCCCGGGCTCTGGTGAGTGCCCTTTGATCCTCCATGCAGGATCTGCAGGTGAGCAAATCTTTTCATATGCTGTAGTAAAGGGGGAAGAATCTCTTTTTACTTAAGAAACAGGTATGCATTTGGGATTACGATAATGGCTGTGGTAGTACTTTAGGTGTTGCAGTCTCCATCCAGATGTAGAATGAATTATACTATCCTAAGATTTGGAAAGGTAAAAAACTCACACAAGTTTAAATAAAATGTCCTGTTGTGTTCTGTGGTTAAGGTAAAAATGGATGAAAATTGACTCATCCTGGTTTGAGGGAATTGACTGAGTGACCACACTACTAGACGAGGAAAGAATATTTGCTGCAGAGGGAGTACTGTAGGATGGACAGATTGGGTTCTCAACACTGCATACACCTGAGCTTGATTTTTTGCTGTTTTTTGTTTCTCGCTGTCTTTTTGGGGGGGCTGGCCTTGAATGAGATGTTCATATTTGTTCTTTTGAAAAAAATAGAGCCAATAGAGGAGTTGAGGTGTAGGAAGAAACTCTTCTTAACAAGCCAAGTAAGTTCGTGTACCAGTAGAACGTGCACAGTAACTGTTCTGTGTATTCAGTGCTGAGGCAAACTGGAATCGGTTTGGCCTTGCATTTGGTAAAAAGCTTGACTTTTTAGAAACATACTGCAACTGGAGTGGTGCAGACACTATTGGAGTTATTTGTGTGGAAATATGAAGTAGAATGTGATGGCAGGGGTAAGAACACGTGTGAGAAGGATAGTGGTTTTTCTGTCCTCCCCAGTAGAAGAAGCTCATAAAGGGTCTTAGAGAAAAGTGAGTTTAGTTCAGGCTGATATGTGAGAGGCAGGCTGAAATAATACGGATGTGCTCGTCACAGATACTGGTTTGGCTTCATTCATAAGAAGGTGCCAAAGTAATTTTTTTATTCACAGGATAGATTATTTAGTAGATGATCTCGTTTCAGAGCTTAAAACTGATCTAAGATATTATTCTGTTTGATTACTCGATCATAATAACCATCTGCAGTTGGATCTCAGGTCATACTACACGTTGTCTTTTGCAGCAGGACAGACAAAGCATTGTGATGTTAATGAGCTATCCTGTGGCTTAAAAATTGCTTTTTTTTCAGAATAAAGCAAGCCTGAATTACTTAGTTATGGCTGATGCCATTCTTACTAGATTAATGAAGACAAAAGAGAAAAAGAGAGGTTAGGAGAACTGGTTTTCCTATCAAAACATCTACAATCCTACTTTGTGTAATTGGTCTGTAAAATGATAATGGTGCTAAGCAATTTCATAACCTGTATTAAATAATTAAAAAAAATTGTAAATGAAAGGTTCTCTACTCTAACCTCAAGTTTAATTATTTTCAAGGTTTCTGGCTTAAAAAAAAAGTGTTGCTAATATGAAGTATTCTTAATATGCAGTCATTCTGTGGGGTTTACACTTCAGTTATTTAAAGAATTTATTCTGATGTTGATATCCATATCTCATGAAAGCATGGAGGAAAACTAGCAGCATTGAAATTAGATGACATTTCAGATTTACTGACAACAACTGTTACTTAAGAAATTACTTGGATATGTTAAGAGTATTGCCTAGTTTTGTGCTCTCTGTTTGAGAGTAGAAACCTTGTGAAATCCATGCTGATTATGGGGAACATCAGTGGTTTATGCAAAATTTTTTTTATGGAGTTTGAGGGAAGGGGAAATCAAATTCTTTGCATCTTGCACAGAAACATGGCTCTTGCAGCTCTTGCTTACCCAAATCTCAAAGGATCAGATTACTTTTTCAGTTAAATACAGTTTTCCAGTAGGTGGAGACACAACTGTTGAGTTTAAATAAGCTTAAGCCTTTACTTTTTGATTCCAAATGTTTTGTCAAGACACTATTCAAGTAAATGAAAATTAGGAGGTAAGAAAAATGGTTTTATATT